GAGGCTGCTGCCCCAGGGGTCCCCCACCCCACAAGCTCCTGAGGAGCTGAACTCAGAAGGTCTAAATTTCCACAGTTTGGAGATGGAATTGGGATTCACAAGTGGCTTCAATGTGAAATTGTTCTCGGCCACTTTTAAAATCTGTCCCCACCCCTGCTTAACCCCACAGTCTCTCAGCCCTTCCCTTCACGGCACCCGACTGCTTCACCCAATAAACATCTGACAACACGGGCCCCACAATTGCAGAGCAAAGTCATCGCGGCCCCTGAGGAAAGCAGCGTGGCCTGAAGTTCATGCGAGTGACAGTGACGTGGAGCCGGCCTGGCTGGTGCTCCAAGCCTTAGACAGATAGCGGCAGGCCGGGTTAATGTCAAGACAAGAGAACCCACAAGGTGAGCCGCTCCAAGCCTCTGATTTGCATAACAAAGGTTGCAGAGACGGGGAAGCCTGGAAGGTTTTCAAAAAAATGGCCATGGACGTTGGCAGTGCCCAACTCCTTCTGATTTCTCAGAAAAAAAAATTTAAGCCAAAAAAAAAAAAAAAAAGGCATTTGATCCATCTTTGTTCTAAGACATTGCAAATATTTGCCATCACAAGCCATATGTGGTTAAATATAGCATAAAATAAACGTTTTCCTAATCTTCAGTTTCATTTCAAGATAAAAGTCCCAATCAAACCTGATCCTTACTTTTAGTACGCTTTTTTGAAGGTCACTTCAACTGCATTTGTTTTAAGGGCGTTTTCCTGGTCCCAGGTGCCCCTGGGTGCTGAGGTGGAGCTTCCCGAGTCAGGACAGGGCCTGGTTCTGACGCGGCTCTGTCATTTTGGGCGAGGTACTCACCGCTCTGGGCTCCACCCTCCCCATCTGTGAAGTGGGCTGCTGGGAGGAGTCAAGGGAGTGCCCAGGGCGTGGTCACCCTATGGGAGTGTGGCTGTTAGGAGGAGTCTCCAGTGCTGGCAGCAGTGGTCCTCTTCGGCCATTGCTGGTCCCCTGGCTCTGGGGACGCGGTTCTATCCTGGGCTGGTTCTATCCTATCCTCTCTTCTACCCGGTTCAATCCTTCTAGCCCCAGTAGCCTGCCCAGGAGGCCTCTCCTAGCCCTGCCTCTCCCGCTGGCTCCCCACGGGTGCTGGTGTGCACACACTCCCTGTCCCACTCAGAAATGCATCCCACCAGGCCTGCAGGTGTTGTTTTCCCTGGACACCCGCCCCCACCTGTCCCCAGCCCTATCTCTGGGAGGGGTGACCAGCTGGGCGTCCATCACCAACAGCATGACGCAGCTTCTGCAGCGGAGTTCGGGCACTTGGAACAGGTCCAGCACTGACCAGTGGTCCTTCTCAGAGGCCGCCTCCTCCTCCATGCTGGACATCACCACCTCCGGGGAGAAAAGGGGACACAGTGAATGTTGGCGATGGCCTCACCCCACCCCCGTGCCAGGGAATGGTGGCCAGGTGCGCGGAGTGATGAGGGAGCCCGGTCTGGCCTTGGCCTCTGCAGTCAGGAGCCCTGGGGATGAGGGGATGGGGGAGAAAACTGCCTTTCCGGGCCCCCGGCTCTTCCGCAGGCCCGGTCCACCTCCCCTGCCCCGAGTAGGGGTCTTGTGTCCCAGCTCTGGCCCTCCGAGCTGTAGCTGCAGGATGCTCTTGGCAGGCACTCAAAGCCACGCCGTCCCTCCTCCTGCCTCCAGGCTGGGGCCAGGGTGCGCCCACTCTGGCCACCCCAAGTACCCAAGCAGCCCCTCCCGCACCTCCGGGCCCTGCCCACACGGTGCTCAGCTGGGTGCTGTCAGCTCTGGCTCACCCCCTCCTGGAAGCCTTCCCCGATCCTCCCACCCTGGGGAGCCCTGTGTCCTCTGATCTCCCGCAGCACATCCTCCAGCACCGGCTTCCTCTGCGTGGCTGCCTGCAAATGCGCACAGCCTGTTTCCCCAAATACAACGAGAACCGGGAGGCGGGTGCGCCGCACGTGCGGGCTGAGGCCGTGGGTAATGGCGGTATTGTTATTGGTGGTGGTGACGGTTTTTGGTGATGGTGGTGGTGATGTCTTGGAGAGGTGCTGAAGGTGACATTAGTGGCGGCGTTGGTAGTACTGGCAGTGAAGGATGGTTGTGACGCCGCTGGCGACGGTGTTGGTAATTGCACTGTTATTACTGGTGGTGGTGGTAGAGATGCTGGCAGTGATGCTATTGGCGGCGCAAGAGGTGGTGCTGGGACAATACAGGTTCGACACCAGGGCATGTCCTTTCCTGGGTCGAGTCTCATACTCTGGGTCACAAACAGCAGCGTCTCACCTCAATGGTCCGTGCCTTTGGGACTTCCTTGTGGCCATTTACCCCGGCCGCCTTTCTGAGCTCCTGAAGCGCTTGGTCTGGTTTGACCATAGAGATCTGCCAGCGGGCGGACTCCGGCAGCCACCTGTTAAGGCAGCAGGCGCGTGGCTGGCTGTCCCCCAGGTCGCATGGGAGGCGGTGGGCAGGGACCCTCCAGTGGAGAAGAGTGAAGGAAGGGCAGGCGCTGCTGCGCTGCTGACACCAGCCAGGAAGACTGCAAGGCCCTAACGAGGCCGGGCGTGGTGGCTCGCACCTGTAACCCCAGCACTCTGGGAGGCTGGGGCAGGAGGATCGCTTGAGCTCAGGAGTTCCAGACCAGCCTGAGCAAGAGCGAGACCCCGTCTCTACCAAAAACAGAAAAAATAAGCCAGGCGTGGTGGTGAGCGCCTGTAGTCCCAGCTC